CATTTATTTACCATGGCCCCTAAAAGAGCATCAGAGACACCAGCTGGAGTCACCCTAAGCGGCAGAAGAAAGTGATGACTCTGCAGGAGAAGGTGGAGTTGCTGAATCGGTTAAGGGAGGAATGTCGTTCGCTGCTGTGGGGCGGCTGTACAACGTGAACGAAAGCACCGTCGTACCATCAAGAAAAGGAAAAAGATATTTGTGATACTGTAGTGCCAGTGCTCACGCAGTGCTAAGCATGCCAGCCAAGTGAGGGAGAAGGCAATGGTGAAGATGGAGAATGCCTTGTTTTTGTGGATAGAGGACCAGCATCGGAAAGGTGTAGTAGTGGACTCTATCCTTATCCGGGAGAAAGCTACCGTATATCACGGCCTATAAGACGAAATTTGAACATTAAAAAAATCTGCCCAAAGTTAGGGGGTCGTCTAAACCACCAAGTTTAAAATTCTTACCTCTTAAATATTGTGGTTTAGTGTGTCAAGAGTGATGAAAACATCGTAAGCCACTCACAAGGTCTTACCACTAATTATTTTATACTGAAACTTACGTTTGGCAAGCTGGATAAGCAATACTCGAGGAGCAGGGTTACAAGCCAGAACAAGTTTGGAATATGGATGAAACAGGTAAGACAGTAAACTACTACTGTACATTTAACCTTAAAAATGCTCAAATACCTGTTGTACTGTACCTACTGTATTGTGTTGTAAGAGAAAACGGGATAAATGCGTCTGAGTTTTATACAGTAGCTTTTATATTTTTATTCCGTAGTGATTTACCATACAGTGTGGTGTAATATTTTTATACCAATTTTGATACCGTATACTGTATGTATAATAGTACAGGGTGTACTACGAGTATTTTCTTTTCCAACAGGTTTGTTCTGGAAAAAGACGCCACAGCGCACTTTCATCGCCCAAGAAGAACGCCGTGCACCAGGATTCAAGGCAGCCAAGGACAGGTGCACCGTGCTATTTTGTGGCAATGCTGCAGGTCACCTCATTCGCCCAGGCTTCATATACAAGTCTAAGAAACCGCGTGCATTCAAACACCGCGACATGAGCTTGCTGCCTGTTTTCTGGATGTACAATAAGAAGGCCTAGACAACGAGCGACCTGTTTCTCAACTGGTTCCACCATTGTTTCCTGCCAGAGGTCAAACGCTACCTGCACCAGAAAGGATTTGAGTTCAAGATCCTGCTAATCCTCGACAATGCTCCCGGTCATCCACAGTCAGTGGAGGTGCTGCATGAAAAGGTACAGGTGTTGTTCCTTCCACCCAACACCACTGCACTTATCCAGCCAATGGACCAGGGAGTTATCAAGACGTTCAAGGCTAACTACAGTAAACGTGTGATGACCAGACTGCACTCGGCTTTAGACCATGATCAAAACCTAGATGTGCTTCAGTACTGGAAGAACTTCAACATTGCTGACTGCTTATCTTTGGTGGCTGAATCTTTCAAGGATGTGAAGCCTGAGACAGTGAATGCTTGCTGGAAATCACTGTGGCCTGAATGTGTGAAAGATTTCACTGGATTTTCTCCTGACGAAGCCATCGCAGAGGCGGTGAAAAAGACCCTGGCACTGTCGAGGAAAGTGGCTGTTGAAGGCTTCCGGGACATGGCAGAGGACGAGATTAGGGAGCTAATTGAAGAGCACGAAACTGAGCTGACCGAGGAGGATCTACAGGAGTTAGTAGACTCAGGCAAGGAAGAGGAAGCGAAAGGGAAAGAGGATGAGGAAGAGCACCAAGAAATAACGTTGGAGAAGTTGAGGGAGATGACCAGGATGATTGAGGCACTGAAAAACCTGGCCTATAGTATGGACCCCTCCATGGTGCGTGCCCTGAAATTCATGCGGATTATAGCAACCACGACCATGATTATAACAACTACGACCATGATTATAACAACTACGACCATGATTATTTAAACCTTGACTATGATTATAACAACCACGACCATGATTATAACAACCACGACCATGATTATAACAACCACGACCATAAGTATAACAACCACAACCATGATTATAACAACCACAACCATGATTATAACAACTACGACCATGATTATAACAACTACGACCATGATTATATAAGCCATGACTATGATTATAACAACCACGACCATGATTATGACATCCACGACAATGATTATAACGACCACGACCATGATTATAACAACTACGACCATGATTATAAAAACCATGACCCGATGACCCCCGCCCTGTCGCCGAGGAGAGGTACGGTACAGTAAAGTGAAATTCTTATCTCTTTTTTTTAATAGCTTTTCTTGCCATGTTTATTGTTTGTAAAAATGCACAGCACAGTACAGTTCAGTACAAGTACTGTACATAGGAAGTGGAGGTGCAGTTATTCACAAAACATTTGTGTTTGTTGTCGGCAGTAGTGAAGGTGTGGAGGGAGCGAGTTCGGAGGAGTGGGGAGGTGACCTTGGACGCAGGAGCAGGGACGAGTGGAGATGCCAGCCAGTACATTACAGGTGTATTAATTGTTTTTATAGCTATTTTTGCATTTTAACATTAAATACTGTACATTACGTTTCAACAAAACTACCATTTATTTCTGATAACATAGAATTGTAATATTTTTGCTGAAATGATGTACGTATTACAGTGGAAAGTGGGATAAAATTGTGACGCAAGCAATGACTCTCTTTCTTTCGTTCAAAAGATGTTGCCGTAATCTCTTTTCGAATGGTTTTTTAACTGAAAACCATTCGAAAAGCGATTACGGTAAAATCTTTTGAACAACGAAAGAAAGCGAAAGTCATTGTTTTCATAATTGTATCCCACTTTCCACTGTACAGTAATATGTACGTCATTTCAGCCAAAATATTATATTTCCAAATTTATTTCTGAGAATATATTCATTCAGTCACAGTTAAGGTAAAATATATTTGTGATGTAATATTTTAATGAAAATACGGTGTCGTAGTTTTCTTTTGTATCAAATTTTATTAACAAAGATTGATGTTTCAAATGTAATGAACAAAAATTTATGAACAGTATCTATAAATAAACTTTAACAAATGAATACTTTTTTTACATCGTCCTGTGTATACCATACCATGGATTTGGCTACTTTGGGCTTGCTATGATGACGCAAGAGATCTGCTCTGGCAACTGTACCGACACTCACAGCTGGTGGTGCGTTGGTGCATCGTTTCCATTGTTTACTGGTAGTTACTGGTAAATATTTTTCAACCTAACGAAACTATTACCCTTTTAGAGGTCGACCCCCAATTTTTTGCAAAATAATTTGGTCTTAAAAACTCGAACTACACACAGGTATATATGGTAAATAAGGACATGGGGGGCCAGCGGGTTTTAGGGGGGGGCAGCAAAAGTACACGGATTTTTAACATTCACTGGTATCTCTGTTACCTAACCCCCGCGTATGTTAAGGGCCGACTGTAATAATAATTTAGATAAGTAAAATTTATAATAAAAAACTAAAAAAATAAATAATAATAATAATAATAATAATAATGATAATAATATTAATAATAATAATAAGAATAATAATAATAAAATGAACCATAAAGAAATACAAAAATGAAAAAACAAAGATTAAGAGTGAGAAACAATATACAGTATGTATGTTGTGTTGTCAATAGTAAGAGAAACAATTGAGACCCTGCACTGTGTGTAAATGAGGCAGGATGTCAGATCAGCAACCTGGGACTTGGTCACAATTTTCGTGATGCCATATGGCAGCAGGGTCTTCCATTAGACAAAAAATTATGCTTCCAATATCTTCCCAGGTGGTAGTATCTCCCTGTTTGGTAGCTTCCTACTACCTACTACCTCATGTGGTTTCTTGCCTAGAAGAGGGGTTGGTCGTGAATGGCTGTCCAGGGCAATTGCTATAAATTGCCGACTGGAAAAACATTGTGCAAACAAAGGTTGGGCATTCATTGTTAGCTGGCAACCATTCTATGGCAACAACTACCTATACAATCGTGACGGAGTACACTTGTCTCGTGCTGGGGTAAAGACGTTGTCTGCATCCCTGGAGCGTGAAATTGTCACTCCAAAGGGGGGGTTTCGCCAGTAGAGAGAGGTCTGGGTAAGTGGGAGTCAAAAAACAAGCAGGTCCTGGGAAGTAAAATTGGTTACCCAAGACAAGGAGTAAAACAGGACCAGGGAAAGGTAGGTTTAAATGTAGACTATACAAACAGTAGGAGCGTTAGAAATAAAATAGACTTACTGAGAGCGGTTGTATGTACGGGGAATGTAGACGTCATAGCAATCATCGAAACTTGGATGAATCTAGCGAGCAAAAAATTTTTATCAGAGTACCAGAGCGGCAGATTAATTCAGGGCAGGATGCAAATGCTCTACAGGAAGATTTAAATAAACTGCAGGGGTGGTCAGAAAAATGGCAAATAAAATTCAACACCAGCAAGTGCAGCGGACTTAACATTGGAAGAACAAATACTGCCAATGTATACAGCCTTAACAACATCAACCTAGAGAAGTCGACTTGTGAAAGAGACTTAGGGGTACTTGTAAGCCCGGACCTATGGCCTAGAAAACAGTGTGTTAATGTTCGAAATAAGGCAAACAGAGTATTAGGTTTTATATCTAGAAGTGTAAGTAATAAGAGTGCAGAGGTATTATTGCAACTATATCTTGCGCTAATCAGGCCGCACCTCGATTATGCGGTTCAGTTCTGGTGCCCTTATTATAGAATGGATATCAATTCACTGGAGTCGGTGCATCGAAGAATGACGAAAATGATTCCGGAACTTAGAAACCTACCATATCAGGATAGGTTGAAGAAACTAAACTTGCATTCCCTAGAAAGACGAAGAGTGCGGGGAGATATGATAGAAGCATTTAAGTGGGTGAAAGAAATCAATAAAAGGGATATAGATAAAGTTCTTATAATATCCGAGCAGGATAGAACTCGTAGCAACGGATTTAAATTTGATAAGTTTAGGTTTAAGAGGGAGATAGGAAGGAACTGGTTCACAAATAGTGTGGTGGACGAGTGGAACAAGCTTAGCAACTTTGTAGTAAGTGCTGGAACGCTGGAAAGTTATAAAAGGAGGCTAGATAGATTCATGGATGATAGAGAGTGGTAGTAACTCTCGACAGGAGCTGCCATGCACAGGCCAACCGGCCTATTGCAGACTCCTTATTTTCTTGTGTTTCTTATGTTAAAACTCTCGCCTAAATTCACAGGTCCGTACGTGATTAGAGCGAAAGAACATAGAAACAAATTCCAAGTTGTTGAGCCAACGTCAAATGTTACAGATATAGTACATGTTGATAGAATGAAAAAGTCAGCAGAGACTTAGTAGGGATTCCTGATGTCAGTCAAGTACATCCTACTTCAACTACAACAGTTGTTCAACAAAATATAACGATAGACAATACATATCGTCAAAAAATACGATCAGCAACCACTAATAATTGATTATCCTCGCCGATTTCAGACATGGCTTAGATGTCACTACTACTGTTGGTCTGGAGTGTGGTGTCAACAGCCGCCTCCCCAGCAGACGTCGTCAAACCCGGAGCCTTAGTTGCCCCGCTAGGCAAAGTATTAGTAGTACAAGACATTGTCACTATCAAATACGAGCTTCATGACTGAAAGCGCATGCCAGTGCATCTGAGGTCGGTAGCTGTTCACATTGAAACAGCTATGCAAACTTTGTAAGATATCGAACAACAATCTACATTCTCTACAACAATCCGCCAGACCATCTCTCTTCAACATGACCGTATGAACAGTTTACTCAAACGAGTAAGGCATTTCGAGGGAAAGCTCCCTGTATCTCCTGAAGACATTGGGAAAAATGTACATTCTCAGCGGCGTAAAAAACGTGGTCTGTTTAATTTTGTAGATTTAAGAAGTAACACCTTGTTTGGTACGGCAACCGCCGAAGATGTTGCCAGACTAGGAAATAAAATGAGTGCAGTTTCAGAAGCGGTTAGGAAACAAAATAGGGCCATTGCACAGTCATACAAGGCAATAAAAAGCCTGACCTCTCATATGAATGATATTGTTGAACGAACTAATCAACTAACACAAATGGAATAAACTAACACAAATGGAATAAACTAAC